ATTCCACACGTTTAATTGCGTTAACAACACCTATAATATACATATTATAAATACTAATGCCGGGTTCAATATTATTATAATCAATCACTAAACATGTAAATGTGTAATGAATCAATAGTGAGCTTAAACATGATTTAGGGGCCCATGGTCCATTACATTTTACCGAACCATTAAATGGATACATTTTATACAACCTGGCATAATAATATTAGTCGAATATACTAATGTAGTATTATGGATAGTTGTATGGTACCTGCAAATGTAATTTAAATTGGCTTAGAAATACCTAAAGGATAAAGTATAAAGAGGACATGAGCTATGGGGGGGATGCTCTTAGGAGGGCCCACTAGATGTTTTTCATGTTATATGAAATATTTTATTTTATTATGATTGTTGATTACACCTAGGTATTGAGTAAGTATTGAAATACACACATATATAGTTAATAGTTAAATAATTATGACTTATAAGTTAAAACTAATGAGTCGTATAAAAAAATATGGCCGAGAACCTTAATGGTTCAAAATCGTTTAAACTCACTGTCTATCCTCAATATTGAAAAATGTTTTATCAAAAAGTATTAATAATGGTTATTGGAAAATTCGCTTAAAATAATGGGGCAATGATCATCTTACAATAATAGTTTTATGGCATTTTTAATACCATGTCAACAACTTAAAAACATAACAGGTGCACTATAATAGCCGATATATGTAAATAAATACGTCTAAATAAATATTTGTTTCGTGTTTCATACTTGTATTTATTTAATGAAAAAATATCAAACGTATCTATTACAGTGTTTCGATATAATTTATAGATAAAAAAATGAACATATTACAAAATTATAATAGTGTTTGTAGATGATTAGTGGCTAAGGATGCCCCACGTCTTACAGACGCATTAAAAATATTAGCCCCCTGACATTGTAATGGATTTCCCTATGTATGAAATATTGGCAAAGTTTTAGTCACCCAATTTAAATTAGTCGAATAATTACATCAGAATCGAATTGCAATTAAACTGAGTTACACTTAAACCAAAGCACACAGAGTATCTTGCATTCGTGTTCAATCCAAAGTAATACTTAAACTAATATAGATTATAGAGGGCTTCTATATTAGTTTCATCTGCAGTAAATTGAAGCGCAAATGGTTTCTTTTTTATGGGGTACACACTTCAAGAAAAAAAATATTGTGATATTGTGGTTCGACGGGTAGGTTTTATTAGTATTGACGTCATAGTTATATAATAATTGGACATTTCGTAAATTTTTAACTGAAAGATAGCACATTTTCATTATTTTTACGAATTTTTTTAAAATTTAAAATTGATATGCTTATAAAAAAAATCAAGTACCTACTTATAATATATATTGTAAGCTTGATATTTTTAAATAGCTTTGATAACAACATAATATGTTAACTATCTATATTATTAATAAATTGTTTATATTAATCACTTATCATTATTCTTTTATTAGTACAGAGCTTTTCTGAAACTATTGAGGTTTGCAGATTATTACCTATATTATGTATTGAAAATTAATTATTTAATTATTATTAATTATTAATTAGACTTGAGTTGTTGTTTTATAGAGCATAGTAGTAACACAAATTGTAATAGTTTTAAACTTGTAAATATATTATTATGACGTTATCTCTCGTTACTTATTATTTATATATGTTTAAAATATTAAAATGTTCCTAAACTTTTTTATAGCCAACCTAAATAATAACTATATAAAATAAAAACAGATCAACAACATTTGATAGAACCAAGCCTGGGTAAAAGTTGATGACATTGTTTAACTCAGGTAGTAAAACTATTTATTTTTTTTAATTAATTTAAATATAAATTTAGAATACGTACATTAAGTAAAAATTAAATAAATCAATAACGAACTATGTATTAAACTGAATACCTCGGAGGAGGAGACCGATTGGAAGACCAAATCAGAGATAGATGGCTAAAAACAGGAGGGCTAAGACAACTAGCGATTGGCAATGCTGGGAGCCCTGAATGTTAGGAGATGAAAAGATGTTTTTGTCACACCTGAACCAAAAGTTTAGTATTTGATGATGATTGAAGAGTTGGAGAGCGACCTTTTTCCATTTAGTTGGCCGTAAAATGGAAATCCCAAAAAGTGATAGGCGCACATATTATCACTCATATCCCCTGCTCAACCAGATACTGAAATCCATACCACTGTCCTTACAAAACATAAACTTTTGGTTACATCTTATATCCATATTATAACCTACATGCATGACGCTTAAAATAAATAAAACCAAATCGTTTCTTTCATGAAATATTCTTTCGTGGAATAGTTTGGTTGTTGCATAGATCACTACAATACCTTTGTCATGATCGATGATCGCAGAGCTGCAGAGGCGTGATAAAATATAGTATGCGTATGGCTCGTGCAGGATGGCAATTTCAATCTTGGGCAAAATACGCACCTCGGTTCCCAAAAGTACAAACTAGATCCAATTTTCTTCCAAAAACCTCCATTGAAGTTTATGATCAGATCATTTTTTCTACTAGAAAAGTTGAGAAGTTGGAGTTGTAAAAACATTTTCAAATATAATTCACCTAAACGTCTGAAATTATTAGACTGGAAAAAATAAAAATAAAATTTTAATTAATTTGAAGCCTCTCCCCCACCCCTCCCCCAATTGAAAAATCCTGCGTACGCCACTGGGTAAACCTTATAATATTCAAATAATGTATCTGTATGACCTTATTCTAGTATAACAAACATAGACCTACTCAGTTACTCAAACATAGCTGGTAACTTGTAATAGCCAATAAACAAAATAAACAATATAATTAAATGTTAAAAACATTAGATTACCAGTATAATCGTTTTCAGTGTTGTAAATTGTAACAGTTTTATTTACTATTGTCTATTACTTCTTGTCTAAAAATAATACTGTTTATTTTTATGTCCTTGCTTTTAAATAGGGGAGACTGGGGCAAGATGAAAATTGTAAGGAAGTCATAACTCATAATCAATTGATTATATTTCAATTTTTTCAAAGCATAACTATGTTATATCAGTCGCCTGATATATTATTATTATTTAATATAAATGATTATATAGCAGACTATTTATTTCTAATAAGAGCCACTTTAAATTCAATTGAACAATCAATACATTTATAATTGTTTCGGATGAAAATTGAATAAAACCAGCGTAAATACAAATGTATTGGTAGTTGACACAAACGGTACTATTATTATTTGACTAATTGGCTTTGAATATAATTATATACATTTATAATATCTCAATAGTCAATACATGTAAGATTCAAATTTAATATGTATATAAAACTATGAACAAACAAGAAACTAAATATATTCTTCATTATTATTATAATATAAGTTATAGCCTATAGGCTATTGGTAACTTATATCATATGTAGGTATAGTTATGTTTTTATCTAATTTATTGACAAAATTACAGTTTTTGACTTTTAGTACTATATCAAGATATTATGTATTATTAAGAGGCCGTTCTGGTACGAAAATTCGGCCGTAAAAACATGGTTTCGTACTTCTCATTTTCCTCAGCTCTCGTTAGTCGTAGAAACATAATTTTTTCACCAAAATAAACGTGAGAAGTTGATCTAGGTTTTGTCGTTCCAGATTTTCGAATTTTTTTTTCAAACCGATTATATTTGCATTTGAAATTTTCAAAATTTTCAAAATTTTTAAAAAATCATATAAAATAGACAAAAAAAGATATCAAAAATCTGGAACGACAAAACCTAGATAAACTTCTCACGTTTATTTTGGTGAAAAAATCATGTTTCTACGACTAACGAGAGCTGAGGAAAATTGGAAGTACGAAACCATGTTTTCGGTAAGAAAAACACGATTTTACAGCCGTCATGTGCTGCTCTACTGACACTAGCGGCAGCGTTCAAAAATAGTGTTCCTACCACTACCCCGCGCTCGATTGTAGCCATACCGCACCATAGTTCAAAACCAGATTTCTTATCGCGACCGGGCCGCTTGCCGTTTATAAATAATCGGTAAGAAAACAATTATGTTGGTGACAGAACTGTTTTCATAATACCCATATCGAATTTTATACTTCGTATATTATTATTATTATTCTGCTCGCCGTGTTTTACACAAACTAAAAATCTCACATCCTAAAATTGTTATAAATCGTTTAACAAAATTACAATTTAAATAATTATTTTTTTAATCTTGTAGAGAATTCAACGAGAAAATTATTTTTTTTAACGTTGACTAACAAAATATGAAATTTAATTCAGAATAACAAAAAAAAACCTTAGATACATATTATGAATACATGGAAATCTGTTGAATAAAGTGACCAGTGTAATCAATGTACCTAGGTACAACATAATTCGACTTATAATAATTAAAACAATAAACCCCTAATTATATGAACTGAAACACAATTGTTTATATAAAGCAGTCAAATACGAACTGTATTTATTTTTAATTAGTTATAATAGTAGGTACATTCCTATATTACAGATTATTTATTTATTTATTCATTCATTTATTTATTTATTTATTTATAATATATTAATATATAAACGGGTTGAACCCAATTCAAAATATGATAAAACAAATTAAAAATGACATTGAAATACATTCAATACATCAAACATTCACAATTTAAAAAAAAAAAATCATATTTACAATCTATTCATACAATAAGCACATTTGATAATAGAATGAGAAGCACGTCATGATAAATCATCAATTTGTAAAAAATAATAAAATTCTAGGTATATAATATGTAAAAAACATAATATTTTAACATGATAATAGTATATAGCATTAAAATATTAAATTACCTATTACCTATGTCCTATAATCTATATTGTATAATATATAATAGTAAAAATTTTCGCGTGCCCACAAAATCTTTTCGCGTGCCATGGATTTGCCATCCCTGGTATAAAGTAATAATTATTGTACATGAATATTACATGAATATTAATCGCGGTACACTATTTTTTTTTTGCCGTTTTTGTTTTTATATTTTCCAAAATATGTTGAGGATCTAAAATGTCATCTACCAACAGCCTCTTTCCGTACTGGGGATTGACTATTTCTGGAAGTAAGCATTCTGTATAAAAACTGAAAATAAAATTTGATATTATGCTTATGTAATTACGTAAAAATCCAATTAGGTACTTTAAAATGTAAATTAAAAAATCATGTTCAATATTACACTTTTAACTTCTCAATCATTTTTTCGCGCCAGAAAGAGTCATCGTAACTAATAATTTGTATCTCTATCCAATTGGCCGAATAAACAACGAAATAACAGGAATTTCGTTTTGAAATATGCATTTGTCCCTGAACTTGGTAATAGTAACTATGGTCCACTTTTAATTCCATTCTCCCGTCTTCACTGAGACGACAGAAAGATAACTGAAATTAAATATTATAATAAAAATATTTTACATTTTACACTTAGAAAGTTAGAGCTAGCAATTAATGTATTGATTTGCAATGAAGTATATTTTTTATTTTTTTATTTTTTGTGTCTTTGTGCAAGGTTACTCACAACGTTACTTATAAGATGTTATTAGTGTAATTTAAAAATTTGAGAGTTAATTCACAATAATATTTTATGAGCGTCGGAAGTAAGAATTTTGACAACTTTCGTCAAAATATCGATTGTTTGTAAAATGTTTTGTAGTTAAAAACTTATAAAATGTTCTGTTATAGGTAGCTAAGTAGTGATAATTTTAAACACGTTTCTCATAATTAGTTTAAACTGTAACCAAAAAATTTCAAAATTGTATAAAGTAAAAATATTTTTTTTTAAATAGATATTTTAAGTTAAAATTTGGACGAAATTAGATAATGAAACGGAGAATAATGATTTTAATTAATTTTTTTTAAATTTAAAAATATTATTCTTCGCTCGTTGGTCCTTGAAAATCTTAAAGTATATCGATTGAAATATTTTAGGAGAATCGTTTTACACAATATAATAAATAATAATACTCTTACTTTTTTACTATTTATAGCTTCTAAAAATGTCTTAGTGTCTTTTACTGCATATGGACATTTAATTTCAACTATAAAATCATTATTGACAAGACCGTCTATAAATTATAAAATAACTAATTTAGTTGTATTGATTCAATTAATATTTATAATTAAGTACTAAAATATATTTTACCAGGAGAAGCTGCTAAATAAGGAAAATGTTCATCAATAAGAAGTCCACATTTATTCACTGTGCAATTAAATTTTTTTTCCAACGCGACGATAGCTTGTGATTCTGTGGCTTTACCATAATCTGTTGCTTTCGAAGAAAATGTCCTATATAGTATACTATAAACAGTATTTTTGCACGACGTAGTTTTTCGAAGTTTACAAACGCAGCCAAAATTTGACGCTGTGAGCCGATTTCTACGTTCAACATGCCAAATTTGAGAATTGGCCTGTTCCCTTGTTTGTTCTTCAATGGCTAACCGTTCACGTCTGTCCAACTGTAGTGTTTTTAAAAAATCGTCTTTTGTTTTTTCTAATACTTCTATTGAAATATTGTCTTCCGGTAATGGTTCAGCTAAACCATAATGTTGATCCGGGCCACTATTACACCTTCTTTCTGAATTTCCCGAGAAAAGATGTTTTTTAGATTTTGGCTGGGATCTTTTTTTTTTGCTAGATGTAAGGAATTTTTTTCCGATTTCTCCTATTAAAAAAACAATGTAAATTTCCTGTATATTATGTTTGCTATAAATACAATTACAACAATAATATATTATACCTATACCTAATAATTAGTGTAATTAATAATATCATTGTCATTTTATTTGGTAGGTAGGTGCATGAAAATTGTTTAGAATAATAATAAATGTACATAGTATTCACCTGGACTTATATCATTGACTATATTTTTATGCATCAACCGAAGAAATTGTCCACCTGAGTTGCATGATATAACCGCTGCTTCGACTCGAGCATTGTACGAATTTCTTTGTGAATAATTTATTCGTTTACCCGCTAAATGTTTATTAATTACACTGTTGAATTGTTCACACACGTTGTTGTCAACATTCATCAGTAAACTATCAACATTTGCGACTAAACGAGATACTATTTGGGATATATCGCTCACAATCCCTGAAGTCTCGGTGTCTTCGATCAAATTTTTTTCATTAATTGGTCGCGGTTTTTTACAATAGTATTCCTCACATCGATCATGGGCACCCATAATGTGTCGAAAACTGTTATTTATGTCTTGCCGTAGTCCTTAAATAATATATACATATTATAATGTTATAATACGATAATAGTGTTCATTTATAATGTTACCAAAAATATAATTTTTATAATCAACTTGCCTACTGCCTTTTGGTAATCTGTTAGGCCTGGTAAACCACTGCGATATTCAATTGCCTTAGTTATTGCAGCCCCAAAGCGTTTCATATTTGATTTTAAGTGATTTCTTATCGAAGTCGGGTACTTATTATTTAACGTCATAGCTCTTAATTTTGTTCCATAATTTCGCAATAAATGGTTCCGACATTCTATTTTTATTACTCGTAGCCTAGGGCCATAAGGCATTATGTCATGTAATCTTCTTGTAACGCTTGAGTCTCCATCTCCTATAATATATTTTTTGTATTATATGCAAGTAGTATGTATTTGTATGTCACAGTCAGCTTTTCCACGGTAAAAAAAAAGTTCAAGGTGGAATGTTCCACTTAGAGCACTCCGGTACAATATGGTGATTACACACACGTTGTCCACCAATTTCCCCCTTGCACAAAATTATTTACTGTATTCAATTTTTCACGGTTTTTTTTTTATCAAAATTTGATAAAATAAACTATCAATAATTTATTTTTTTACACCAATTTTTTTTCTAACTATTATTTCAAGGAAAGAACACAAATTATTATGAAATAAAATAAAATAAAATTTGGTGTGAAAAAATAAATTATTGATAATTTATTTATCAAATTTTGGTAAAAAAAAACTGAAAAATTGTGCTCTACGCGGAACATTCCCCCTTGAACTTTTTTTTTTACCGTGAAAAAACTGACTGTGAACATACAAATACATACTACTTATTGATTAAAAATTAACTAAATTTATTAATATTATATATAGGTAGTTGATAAACTGTGCACGATTGAAAAACTTAGGTAACTTACTTACCTATTAGTTTATTGTATTTTAGACCATGCATTTCTAAACTCTGTTTAAAACCATCAGCAATAGCATCAGCTTCCATACCTGTAGCACTCTTTTTCCAATTTAAAAAACATGTATGTTCAGGTGGATTTAATTTTTTATTTTTTGCCCTCTGGCAAATTACACAAAACCGATTTCTAATTCCCACAAACAAAATTTTTCTCGACCTATAACCAATTATTGATGCCTGAAATTAAAATAAAATGCAATATAGTAAAATTTATAAAAATGGTATATAATATGTAGGTAAATTTCTTACCACTCCAGATAATGCATCATATTTAGTCTTGTAACTGCGCTTAGACCATTGTCCATCTGCGACAACCGTGCACATAGGAATTCCGTCAATATCTACTGATCCAGCTTCTATTGCTAAACGACGTTCTTCTTCGCCGCCAATTTTCATTTGTGCTTCTGCGACATCGTGAATTCTTTTGGTGATAAATGATTGAACTAATATAAAAGTACATGACGCCATACATTGAATATCCATTGTCGCACATAATTCAGACAATTGCGTAAATCCAATTCCAGCTGATATCGATCCACTAACGGCGGCTTCGTTAATTGGTAAATAATTTTCTGGCTTCGATTTTTCCGAGTCAATAAACATAATAATATTACAAACATCACATTTAAACTTAAAAGTTGATCTTAATCCATGTTTTTTTTCAGAAATCAACGTCATGTTTAAAAATGAACAACCAAATGGCCCTTTGTGATCACTATTTTTAATTTGATAAAAAACGTAATTCATATCTACTATTCGTCTACCAGAGCTTTCACACTCAATATACTGATTACTAGATATAGATTGTTCAGCCACCAAATCATGTACGGTTTCTTCAACACCCCAATCATTAATTTGATTGTCTATCGAGTTAGTTATTTCACTACAAAACAGTTGAAAAAGCTAATGTTACTATATATATTAGAATATTATACTAACATAATATATATATTTTTTCGAATTGGGCGGTGATTGGTTTGCCATTCTACCAAACATACAAGAAATTAAGAAACCACAAAAGCTTAAACCAGCCACGTCCTGGACATGGTCGTACAAAAGTCCGGATTTTCTTATGAATGCCGGTATATATACAAAGGACACAATGAAAGCTTTTCAACAGCATATATTGTTCCCGCAAGAAGTGAAAGCTGCCACAAATAATTTAATCAGACAATCTATGGGATATGATACGACTAATCAAGGTCTGCAATTTAAATATTTGATAGACGAAAACACGCTTGGAAAAATGGTAGAAGATAAGCTATTTAAATTATGGGGTTGGTTTACGACAGTTGGAACTTTTGTGTCTGGGCTAATGGGTATATTCTTTGTTGCAAAATTAATATTAACACTTGTTGACACAGGTATTAATATTACTTTTTTATATCAAACCTTTGGGTGGAGTACAAAGCTTCTAGCGGGATTTTTTTCAAGTATCACCCATAACTTAATACTTCGATCTCATAAATACAACCATCCTAATGATCGAGAGTTTGATGAAGACTCCTTGGAAATGAAAAACTTTCAGCGTCATAGAAATAAATTAAATATTTACCCAAATCTAAATGCTATGGTTTAAAACTATCAAAATAAAAAAATACTTGTATTTTTTATTTGAAATTGAGTACCTAATAACAATATATTTGTATCAAATGTACCTATATTAATTAATATTTTTATTTATTATATTTGTATACAAATTAATTGTGTATGAGACTTTAAATAATTGTTACAGATGATTTTTATTAATTGTATAATAACAACTCAAAATAAATACGTAAAATAATTGTATAATGTTATATATTATATTTTCTTTCATTTTTATACACGTAACTACTTATGCATTTTTTACATTGATAATAATATGTAGATAATATGACATTTCATTAAATAAAAGCATACCTATACATTATATTATTATACATTGGTTATCCGCATTTTCTATGAATACTAGCATCAATTTAAGTTATTAATTATAATAAATTGTAATTAATCTAAATGGTGTATTTTAATTAGCTATATAATAGCTCAATCAAAAGTGTTCTGCACATGTGTAGGTACTTACATAATTTAATTTTAATTTATATAGATTATAATATTATATATTATATTATAAACGATGAACATTTTAAGTGTATACTGTCGGTTTTTTGTACATAGGTACATACTATACAGTATACATACTGCATTGCAAATTGCAACAATAATTAAATAATGTGAATAATTACCTATAGTCTTTATTTAAAAGATATTATAATATGTACAGCAAATAACAATCAACTTCCTAAATTATGTTTTAATTAAATATAGGTACCTAATTACATCAATATATTTTATAACTATAACATTGTAGTATTGTACTAATACGTATGTCGTATATAATAATTATAGGAGATCAAACAATCGTACGAAAAGTACTCCAGGTCACCAATAAGTTACAACGTAAAATACGCGACATATTTAGGTACTACAAAATCCATTTAATCGTAATGAAACTATTATTTTTATGTATATAAAAAAGTAATTGGGTTAGAAAAATAAATCGAGTTATGGTGTATAATAATTTGTATGCTTTATTTATTGGTTAATATTTTTAAGCAAACAGGAACTTTAATTAAAAAATAGGTCGCGACTTGTGTACCGCATGCTAGTACCTACATAAGACATACATGGGGCGGCGATCATTTACGGAACTGCGACGCGAAACGTCCTGTACGACCGTCCGTGAAATAATAATGTACCTCTCGCGCGATTACAACAAGCGGGCCCCGTCGCGTACACGATGGGCGTGGTTACGGCCTACCGCGACGGCGGCGATACGGCGCACAACGCCATCTCTTGAGCGTTGCATTCGTTTCACTTCTACCAGAACGGCCTCTTAATATTATTATTATTTATTGCTTATTACTTGGTATATTATAATATATGAGTACCTACAGTCTAACCATGGAAATCAATTCACTTCATCACCACTTCTAAATCTGCCACCGCTATTACGACCGATGTAAGGTTCCTATATATTACAAAACGGGGTCGGAAATCTATTCGTCACGGAAACGGTTTGCTTTATTAGGTATCAATGGTATCATCCACCATCATCATTGGATTGTACCTATATATAATAATATTATTATATTTTATTATACAACACTACAACATAGTCATAATGAGCTATCTAGAATATCACCACTCGGCCCACTCTGTCTACTCACTTGTCACTCGATTGCATCAGACTCAATATGGTGTAAAATATAAATGTGTAAGTGTGTTATTTAGATAAATAACCTGCTTAAAATATAACTATAGGTAGCTAAAGAGACATAAAAATGTCTATATAGATTTAGTGTGAATTTAAATTTCAATATTATATATATAGCCGTCGTCGGGTTATGATTATTATTATTATGTTATAATGTTATATTATCTACAGTATCGTAAGGTCAGGTTAGGCGTAAGAGCCTAACGGAGCTAGTGCTTAATGTCGGGTTATAAAAAATACAATTTTTTAATTTCAAAGTTGATTTTATGAAAATTATGAAGTTTCACACTAATAGAGTAGGTACCAATTGTATAATGTTAGTTACACTGTAGGTATCAAGCAGTTATCACTATCTGAAAATATACTCAGTTTTCTACTTATATTTTTTTGACATCGATTTTATTTTATCGGTCTAGTTTTCGCATATCAATAGTTAAAAATCGTTTCAAATTTGATAAGTCGATTTTAATTTGCATATATATTACCATTTAATTATTAATTTTGCTAATTGCGTATAAGGCAAATGTGAATTACCCGATTAGGCCCTCGTGCCAAATCACATACGAAGGAACATGATCAAATGGGGCAAATGTGACATGTTTTGTTGCATTAACAAAATAAACAAAATAAGCTTAAAAAAAAGTTTACGTACCTATATCTATTTACTACTATATAATATTATTTAAAGTAAAATAAAAACTCATCTTTTAATCCTACCTGAAAACATTTTTCTCTTTTTTAAAATAAAATCCGACTATTCTACAGGGCGCGAGTGTGAGAGTCTTTCCTTACCCCCCCCCCCCTACAGACAGTGGCGTCATTTAAGTTTTTGAGAGGGGGGTGGCAACAATTTTGACCGGCCCAAAATAAAACTGAAAAAAACCGCTAGCTAACAATTACATTTTTATCTCAATACAAATAGCCTTCTTATATAATTTTAAACTTACTTGTTAGTATCAAAGGTTACGATTATAACTTATAATTATAATTTATAAGCATAAGTTACCCATTTTTTTTAGAGATAACAATAACTAAATAATCAATACATATGTAGAGGAATACTTAAATATATTACCTATTAGCTACTATATGAAAGGTTCATACCCACTTTGCCGAATCCCAATTCACCGACAACTCAATTTGCCGACAAATATACCAGTTTTAAAATATTCCCTTTTCGCCGACAAATTATTAATAAAGTTTTAATTTTCCCGATTCGCCGACAGTTGACAATGATCTTATCGAAAACGGATAAGATAGCGATAATATTATTATGGTATATTATTGATATAAGTTCGATGTTTAAATGTTTTTCCACACATAAAAATATAAAATCCACATGTAGTATAGATTGGTGAATTTAGTTCAGTCCTCCAGCCGTCTTTACAGCGAACTTTAGGATAACTATATTGAAAAGTGCTTTATTCTTATTACAAATTTAATTAAAAATGGAATGGTATAAAATCAAATCTGAAAAAGAACGAGATTTACTAGTGGTCGATAATTGTTGATATACTAGATTCATTTGGATATAACATAGAAATAAAAGGATGCCTTTTTCATTTTGGGCAATCTATATGGCGACAAGTACAAAAACTTGGTTTAGTGCACGATTATACGTACAATGATGAAGTGAAAAAAACGGTTCGAAGAATATGTGCCTTAGCTCTGGTGCCTATCGATGAAATAGATGAGTGTTGGTCAATTATTCATGCTGAAGCACCAGTTAATGAAAGTAACTGAAAACGATTTAATTATAATTTGATTAGTTTATATAATATTTACTTTTTTTTAGACGTTATAAAATTTATGGACTATTTTGTGGATACATATTTGAATAGTGATGTATGCATGTTTGACCGGAAAATATGGAATCATTTCAACACCGATAGGACACGTACAGGTACAACTAACCACCTAGAAGGTTGGCATGCAGCTTTAAACCGGAGTATAAGTCGACCAAATCCGAACATATTTGTGTTGATAACTGAAATAAAAAATCAACAACAAAATTTTGAACTTGATCTACAAGCCCAGAAAAACGGTAATCTAAAACCACTAACTAAAATGAAATTTCGAAAGCTTGAAGAAAGATTAAAAAATGCAAAGGATAGGTAAATATTATAAAATAATTAATTTTTACATGTATAATAGTTATTATATAATTAGTTTTTATTTTTTTCAGATTGAAATCAGAAGAAATCTCTTTAATAGAGTATGTCGATATGATAAAATATCATATAATCATACAATAATTTTATAACTTTTTTTATTTATATTTACTTTTTTATATATATATGTTACCGGAATAGATGAAAATTCAGGAATTGTCGGTATATCCTAGTCATTGTTGACAATGGCTGGAAAGGTTAGGCAATGTTGGATGTTTCGTAGTTTTATCAACATTTCCGTATTATATTAGACAATGTTTTAAATCCGAATCGAAAAAAATATCGACACCGCGCTTTATGCGGTGATCGATCTGATTATGAAACATAGCTATCTATAATTCTATATTATCTATTACTTATTAGTTATTCTAGTATATAATATGGTAAATCCTTTTTTATGTTATCGTTTTTATTGCTTATAACTTATAATAAAATTGATTATACAGAACTATCGTACCTACCAGGTATCGTTATGGTCACATCCCGAAAGTGACTGTACACTGCACAGTATTGTTTGTGCATAGTGCATTGAAGTAGTGAATAGTAACGTGTAATAACTAATAACATTGTTTTTTTTTTTCAACAATCTCCTTAAAAATGGATTTAAATGAAATGCGCATAAAATTTGATAACGCAATTCTATTATTAATTGAATCGAAACGTAACGACAGCAACTTTTTTTTGAATAATGAAGAATATTGTGAACGAATCGAAGAAATAAAAAAATCTAAAATTACACTATCTACGGATGGAGTAAAAAAGTGTACGAAAGACTATAGGAATGTTCGTAAGTACGATATTCTTATTATCAACGGTAAAGATCGTCTTATTAAAACTATAACCAATGCGTCAGAGTGTGTGCGTTATTATGTAAAAAATGACAGTGTAAGACCAATAGATGTGCTAGTCGTGCATCTACTAGATTATGTAATTCTAATGCCGGGTTGCATAAAAGCGATGATTAAATTAGTTTAATGGTTTGTTTTAATGAATGATTAAAATACTTTTAATGAACCGATTAATGTACTGATTAATTAACCGTGTTGCATAAAAGATGTATTAAACTACTTTTGGTTTATACCTAGTATGTGGTTTTTGATAATTTTGTTATCACCAAATTGAGAAGATAATATTAATTATTAATACAAATCACGATTAAAGATATATATATATATCTTTAATCGTGGTACAATTGTACAAATTGAAAATATACTCATATATATAATATAATGATAATATTATGGTAATTGTCAATTGGTAAATATTAAGTCAATACGAATTACGAATATGCAAATTATGCAAATTTTAATAACTAGTAGGTATAACTCGTATCGGTAGGCATATTAGCTATCTTGAGATTTGAGAAAAAATTATAATTGTGTGATAAACCGTTGCATAAAAATTTAGTGAGCCGAAATCTGATCACTAATTTAATGATCTGGTAACCTCCAGTTTAAGGAACCAATAAGTTTAATGACCGTTTAGTGAGCCATTAAATAATTTATTCATTCAATAGCGCGCTATTGGTTCATTAAATGTTTAATGAACGTTTATGCAACCCGGCATAAGTGTCATAGCAGTTTACCGTGTAACAATAAAGATTAAGATTATGATTTATAATAAATAGCTAAAAAGTATTATAATTTATAATATATTATTCGATTTTCAACTTAATTTTTAATGTTATCATCAATGCCTTCTTTCATTAGGAATTGTCATAAATTACTAGTTATTGACGTTAATTCCTTACTAAATCAGG